GAAGAAGTGGCGAACAAGGAAGAAATGGCGTCGACCAGCGGGCACAAGAGGAACGGCTCGAGCTCGAGCATGTTCACCCACAAACGCACCGAGTCCGGTGGCGGTTTTATCGGTCACAAACGCGCCGAGAGCATATCCAGTGCCTTTGGCTACAAACGATCCGAGAGTGGCCACAAGAGGAACGAGAGCAGCGGCGGTGGTTTCGGCCACAAAAGGTGATACTCGCCTTTTCCAATTTCGTCTCCTTACTCTCCCTTGCGTCCAGCTGGTCTCCTCTGTCTCTCCCCTCCTTTCTTCCTTTCTTTGGTACCACTCCTTTAGGCTTCTTGTAAATCGAACCTAATACTTATCTGTAACACGCGGCGGATCTTGCCTAGACGACAAAGCTGCTGGTGTCGCAGTGGAAAAACTGCTTTTCAGTTTCTTGTATTTTAACTTTCACACTTGGTACAGAATCCTTAACCATTGGCAACTTTTGCACTTGCGCCATATTGGTAGCCGTATTAGATAGTACTAAGGCGTTTGAATAGTATGATTAGTCTTATTTTAAAAAAAAGTGATTAGGCAGTAGAAAATACCTGTACAAAGTTTTAACTGTTGTACATAGTTTTAACTTTCACACTTATTTGTTAGCATCCTTGGGTTAAGTTGTAGTAACTTCTGATACATGTATGAATTTACACCATATTGGCAGCCATATTAGATAGTACTAAAGCGTCTCAATAACATGGTTAGTTATATTAAAAAATAAAAAAATGATTAAACAGTACAAAAAAAACCTGTACAAAACTATGTTGTACATAACTTGACTTTTACACTTGTTTGTTAGCATCCTTGGGTTAAGTTGTAGTAACTTCTGATACATGTATGAATTTACACCATATTGGCAGCCATATTAGATAGTACTAAAGCGTCTCAATAACATGGTTAGTTATATTAAAAAACAAAAAGTGATTAAACAATAGAAAATACTTATACTAAACTATGTTGTACATAGTTTTAACTTTCACACCTGTTTTTTCATTCTTGGGTTAAGTTGTAGTAACTTCTGATACATGTATGTATTTACACCATATTGGCAGCCATGTTAGATAGTACTAAAGTGTCTCAATAGCATGGTTAGTTATATTAAGAAAACAAAAAATGATTAAACAGAGTAGAAAATACCTGTACAAAACTATGCTGTACGTAGTTTTAACTTGTTACAGTATTCTTGGGTAAGTTTTGATGTGTGTATGATGTATATATGCATGTATTTACACCATATTGGTAGCCATATTATACTAATTTGTATTTACATCAAAATGGTGGCCATATAGTACTCACAATAATATGATTAGTTACATTAAAAAAAAAAGTGATTAAACAATAAAAAATACCTATACAATGTTGTACATAGTTTTAACTTTCACACTTGTTAATTAGTATCCTTGGATTAAGTTGTAGTAACTTCTGGCACATGTATTTACACCATATTGGCAGCCATGTTAGATAAGGCGTTTTAATAACACGATTAGTCGTATTAAA